TCTAAATCTAAACTAGCTTATTTTGTAAAAAAGTCAAATTTGATTTTTTTTTACCTTCAGGCATTTTTTAAAAATGGCTGTAGTATGGATGATACAACAAATATATTGAAATGAGATAATTTGACGCAAAATTTATAAGCTCTTAACAAAAGCCACTTGACCAAAAAAATTAAAAGTAATTGCGGTTTAGTGCACTTGAAAACTTTAAGTATAGTGTATTGGCGTTTGCAAAGTAACATTATATAAATCATTTTTTAATTTTAATATAAACTAATTTTTTTTTAACTTTGTTGCGCTTAACCCTCCCTATATAAACAATATATATATATATATATATATATATATATATATATATATATATATATATATATATATATATATATATATATATATATATATATATATCAGGGTTGGCATTAAAAAACTCGCCCAAAAAAATCCAAAAAAAACCCACCTAAAAAAACCCTGGAAAATCTGGGTTTTATTGGGTTTTTTTAAAGATATTTAATAAGTTTATGAACTATTATAACCAACTTTAAAATTATAACTATAATATTATTTACTGAAATAACTATTAACTATTATTATTAACTTAATTATTATTAACTATTATTATTAACTATTATAACCAACAATAACAGCTATCAGAGCAGGTTTACTATTATTTGAACCATTATTTGGAAATACATTATTACAATTTTTATTCAAATATTTTTATCGATTGAGATTTTTATTACTTTATGTTATTCACCTCCCAAGTTGAATTTAAATGAGTAGTAGTGACCAGAGAAGCCAACACAACAGTCGAAGAGGCTACCTTGTTGTGGTTACAACCCTCTCTCAACTCTTACGCGGTAGTGGTGTTGTGGTAGAGCGCTCACATCATAAGTGAGAGGTTCTGAGTTTGATCCCTACCACATCCCTGGCAGTACTGCGCTCAACTCCTTTCTCCGCGCAGCAGCCTTGTTTGTTAAGGTTCGTGTTTCGGAGTTATAGAGTTAAGAGAAGGTTATAACCACAAATAAGTAGCCTCCTCGCCTGTAGTGGCCTTAAGCCTTGAGGAGGTGAATTAATTTAAAAAAAAAAAATCTCCTAAAAACGAATCTTTATAAACAAGGAAGAGGAACAAGTGCGTTCATTCGAATTTCAAGTTCAAAGTTTAATTGAAACTTCAGTTACTACCTCCCATTCTCTAGCCTTCTTTTTCACATTTTCTCATTGACATTTTTAATTATATAGAATAATACTTTTAAATTTAAAATAAATCAATACATATGGACTAAGCGTGAAATTTTTTTTTTCTATTACAGTTTTAAATTATATTTAAAAATCTTTTTCAAAATAATTTGAAAAATTCTTGTTATAAATAATTAAACAACAATATATAAAATATATTTAAATAAAGTTAAAAAAAATAAAGTAGAAAAAAACTAATTTTCAATATCATTAAACAAAAACCCACAAAAATTTTTTACAGAGACAAAATAAAAATTAAACCCAAAAAAACCCAAATTTACCCAATAAAACCCAAAAAAAACCCACTGGGCCGAGTTTTTGCCAACCCTGATATATATATATATATATATATATATATATATATATATATATATATATATATATACATATATATATAAATATATATATATATATATAAATATATATATATATATATATAAATATATATATATAAATATATATATATATTTATATATATATATATATATATACATATATATATATATATATATATATATATATATATATATATATATATATATATATATATATATATATATATATATATATATATATATATATATATACATATATACAACCCTCGGAATTAGGAAAAATGAGGTTGGCAATAATTTGCCGACCTCAATCTTTTAAAGGTCGGCAGCAGGTCCGCAAAAAAAAAATTTATACAAAGATCATACAATAAAAGATAGAAACGAGGTCATCAATTTTTGCCAACCTCAATCACTTCTAGGTCGGCATTGCCAAGTGCCGACCCTAACTCCCAGGGTTGTATATATATGTGTGTGTGTATATATATATATATATATATATATATATATATATATATATATATATATATATATATATGTATGTTACTATTGAAAAATTGTTACTATTGATGTCATGCAACCGCTGACATCAATAGTAACAATTTTATATAAACTATAACGATTAAAAAATTATTGTAATATTTTACAAATTTTTGTTTTACGGACATACATGGAAACATAATAAACTTGAATGTTCTCAAAACATCTTGATACGGAAGAATAAAAAGAATATTCGCCAACACTAAGAACCTGCCAAATTAACAAACAAACTAATTCTATTGGATCAGAAAATATGCTGACTAAGCAAAATAAAGTTCTGATGAAATGTTTTAGAAATTGTATTATTCACGATTTGTTACGTTTTGAGATTTCTACCATAAATTGTTTTAAGAATATATTATCAATACTGTGGTTCATTCTCGGAGCCACATCTGCAAAGCTGTAAATTTTTTAAACTACTATTATTTGTTTACAAAAATAAATGTTTTATAATATACATTTTTTAAATTGTCAAAATTTTGAAAGTCTATTATAATTTATAGATTTTATTAGTATATTCTTATTTTTTATTCAAATGTATGTATTTTTTTGCAAATGTAATTTTGTGTATATGTTTTTTATTGTAATGTAATCTCTTAAAGCAATTTTTATGATTTAATTTGTACACAAAGACTTACAAAAATAATTGCGCTTTTAATGAAGTTGTTAACAATCATTAAAGTTAATAAAACTAATTATGTAACAAACATATAAGAAGTTTCTGGTTACTAAACACAAGCAATTCATACAAAGTAACTTGCGGATGAACAAGCACCGCGTCTGAGGTCACGACAGAACACAAATATATATAGCAAGTTATGAGATATAAAAAAAAGTTTCTAGATATTGGTTTACTAACCCTTTTCTAATTATTTTCGCTTCAGTTACCATTTTTAAAAACTCATTATACTTTTTTTCTGCTTTAAATACTAATTAAAATTAAAAAGCCCAATCACTAAACATCATCAGCGATATTGTGAAGCAGTTTCGCTTCCTTATCAAAAAGTATTTTTAACCCTTTATTTCTATCTAGATAATTTAATTTCTATAGTAACTCAATGATTTAATTATTTCATTTGTTCATCTTACTAAGAAGAATGGTTTCAAATATGTTAAACTTTTCAAACTACGCAAAGCATAAAGAAGGTATTAAAAAAATTTACTTTTTTATTTATAAAATAAAACTAAAACTTGCATTAGTTTTATTAGAATCTTGTTAGACTTTTCAGGGCCAGGGGCTATTTTTAATTTGGATGCCTTTGTATGTGCCACAGCACACAAATGACTAAACAAAAAGGTCTTCTTGACTTTTTTGGGGCCCTAACATTGCGGGGTCTGGGGCTCTCCTTAATCTAGCACTGAAAATAAGACACAAGTATATAAATAAAAATTATATTACACTCTTTGTTATATAAAGAACATTTGTTTCCTTTTTAAACAATCGTAAGATGTAACTTTATGTAAAAAACATCCCTTAATTTTATAAAAAAATTATAAAAGAGAGATGTTTCGAAAATATTTGTTCTAAATGTAAATTATTTTGCTTTAAGTTTTTTCGCTTTAAAAAATATTTTAATTGTCTCTCATCGGTCCAATTAATCTTTAGCAAATTTATTTTTGCTTTTTGAAATGTTCTTAAAACGACTAAAAAATCTGGCCAGCTTTTTGCAACTAAATATTATTTCTGTGGTCAGCAATCGAGAGCAATCACTCCCGCTTCCCGACCAAACCTGCTGATTCTTAGACCATTATAGGTATAAAAATAATCAGTGTGGAATAGGTATATATAGAAATGGTAGGTTTGGTAAACACCCGTATTTTACGGATCCAGAAAGCTAGGATATATAAGGAAAATGTATAAAAAAGTTTGGCTTGGAATAGAATTACATAGACCCATATTTTTATGGGTCTGATCTCAGCTAGTATATATATAATTATCAAAATAATAGTTCTTCAAAAGTACATCACATCTCAAAAAAAGCGAAATTATATAAAAACTTCAAAAATAATCATCATTTTATATAAAAATTATTATAGATTTCACTGCCTAGAAAATGACATTTTTAAACTAAAACTAAAAATAAGTATTTTTAGTTTTAGTTTATTATAAATTTATTATAATTTTTTCTTACAAAATTTAAGTGGACCCAATTTTATTGCATTTTTTATGCTGATGGTTTTTTGAAAACATGCCTTGTCCTTAAGTATAGAAAATTTGTTGTGTAATGGCACTAAAATAAATTTAAAAAAACATCAAAAATCTAGCGCAAAAATCAAAAAAAAAATATGCATTACATCATAATTAGTTAAATACTTGTTTTAAATTGAGGAATAGGTATAAATGTCATTTCCACATAGACTTTTTCAAAAAACAATGTTTTTTCTATATAAATTAATCTTAAAGTTTCTAAACACTGAGAACTAAAAAATTATGTATGAATGTTAAATAGAGTCCACATTCCATTAGATTCCTTGTCCTTTTTTCAATATATATGGAAAGTTTCATACAAATTAGATGTGCTTTGGTGTTTAGGAAATCTTATTTTCAAAACTACTTTTGAAAAAACCTGTATGAGGCAAGTCTTTTTTATTAATAATAATCTCAAGACATGAGAATAGTAAAGCAAAATATACAAGTGAAGCCATATAAAAGTTACTATATTCTACATATGGTTAGAAAGAGCTTGGGTCACATTAATTGATGCAAAAAATCTCAAAGTTCTAGCTTAATTATAAAAAAAGATATAAGAGACTAAAGCTCATAAAACTACATGTTTTTTGTCAGACATCAAATGTTTCTCATTGCGCTTTGGAATTGCTATCTATATAACTTATAAAAAACCTTATAAAAATATTTTGATTCTAAAATTTAAATTGATAAAATAAACATACCTTTCGAATTGCATCATCAATAGCATTTTTCAGTGAATTTCCATCCCATTTATCAACTTTGATGACTTCAGGCTAAAATTTAAAAAAAACTTTGAAAAATTTTTCTTTACACTTTTGAAAGTTTATTTGTTAAATATATAAGAGCCAGATATATATAAAGGGCAGTCTTTTTCTAAATATATAAGGGCCAGTCTTTTTTCATAAGAGTTAGTGGCAACGGAAGCTGTTAAAAGACTTAATATTTTGCTTAGATAAACTTCAGTAAAACTATTTAGTAACCTGAAAATATTTGTACTACAACATAATAAATATAAAGGCTAGTCAGAGAAGAATAATTCCAACGTCTATAAGATTAATCAAAAGCTTAATTTAAAAAGGTTTAATATAACTAACTAAGAATTTTGTTGTGTGTTATATTTTTCAATCTGTGTTTGTCCATCTTATCCAGTTTTCATTCAATGATTAAAGCTATTTTAAAATAATTTCAAAAACTATTTTAAAAAACCTTGTTTATTTTTTTTTAATCTAAAAATATGCAGTGCTAGGGGCCAATAATTCCTAAAAGTTACTTATATATATATATATATATATATATATATATATATATATATATATATATATATATATATATATATATATATATATATATATATATATATATATATATATATATATATATATATATATATATATATATATATATATATATATATATATATATATATATGCACATACAAAAATTATAAGAAATATTATATATTATTTATCATTTATATATATTATTCCATAATTTACAGTACATACTTCTTTAATGATTGCCATTTAAGCAAATATTAAGCTTTAGTTCTAATTTGTTCAGGCAAATTCTATTTTCAAATTGAGGAAATGGTGTCGCGTAAGTTGTAAACGAAAGACGTGTCTGATGCGTAACCTTTTTGTGGCGAATGGAGGGGGTTTCACAAATCTTTCACAAATAAGTTTATACTTTTCGAAGTGTGTATATACAGTACTGGAAAAATTATTATGGATTTTTTAGTTTTTTAAATAATAATCAAGTTTTTTTACTTCAAAATGTAAAAATAAAGTTACAGACTATATTATATTCCATTATATTACAGGCTATATTATATTCCAGGTATATCAAAGTTTTTAATAGTTGGTTTGACCACTTTTGGCAGCGTTAAATGCTTTTACTCTCTTGGGCTTGCCTATGAATAAATCACGGCATATCTTGGTGATTGTTTCGCTGTGGAACCAGATATGGATTAACCTCTCTATAAGCTGTGCCTTTGTAATTTTTGGAACTTTGTGCATTTTTTCCTTCAAAATGTTTCATAAAATCTCAATTGGGTTCATATCTGGTGAATTGCCAGGCCATTCGAGTTTAGAGAATTCATTGCTTCGGAACCATATCATTGACAACTTGCCCGTATGGTAAGGAACACAATCCTGTTGAAATATAAAGTCCTTATTATTGAACCATTCTCTCTCTGGTTCATCATTCCTTCCACAATATGAAGACGGCTCGTTCCATAGATGGATATCGCTCCACACACAATGATCTTAGTGGGCAATTTCATTGTTTTCTTATGACACTCAGGCTTAAACTCCACTCCAGGCATTCTTCTGACTGTCTGGACTCTATCATCCAACACAGCCATTGTTGACTCATCTAAGAATACTAACTGAACAAAAAAAATGCCTGATAAGTTTCAAAGAAATTATTTTACAAACATTACATTATTAGTCATGATCAACAAGTTAACACCTACTGATTTTAGTCAAAAAATATAATAAAACTGAAAGAAATCAAAAAATCAATACTATCAGAGATCTAACAGAAAGCTAAGTTAAAGATAACCTTGAACCAATCTTCTTGAGTCCAACTTTCATGTTCAACGGCCCATGCCTGGAATGGTTCATTTTTTTCGTGAGTCTCGGCTATTTCCTTGGTCTGTATGCCTTTAGTTCCTGCTCCAACAAGCAATTATTCACTATTTTACGGCTTATATTAATGTCCTGAACTGCTCATTCCATAGATATCTTCTTGATATCTATTGAATGAGTCATTCTCATGAAGAACTTCTCTATCTCTGAGGGTCATTACTTTGATCTTTCTCTCAAGTCAGGGGGTAGTGATTCTTTTACGACCGCATTTTCCAACTCTTTCAGCTTCAACCTTCATCCAGTTATCTTTTCACTGCACTAACTGTTTGATTTAAAATCTTTAACTTCATAGCTATCTACTTTTGTTTTAGGCTACTATTCTTCAACAAAATACAGATTTGTCCTTTTTATCTAGAGCTCAGGTCTTTCCTCTTCCACATCACTTCAAAATCTGTCAAAAATGTCAAACATTTGCTGAACAATTTTATTTTTATCTTTTTAGAACTAAAACTTAAAATTTGTAGAGTCCAAATACATACCAAGTATACCGTACAATAAAGAGAGTAAAATAAAGTGACGCGAACACAAACTAACATATTTTAGAACTTATGTAACTTTTCTTGTCTAGTCTTTAAAAGACCCTAAAATTAAAAAAACTAAATCTAAATGGATTTTATTTGACATTAAAATAGTCTAACTACTATATATATGTATATCATTAAAACAAAAGAAAAATTAGAATTAAAACTTTATATAGTCGTTAATTTCAATGACTTTTAGTAAGTGATAGAAAATAAAAATCTTTAAGGCCTCATTTTAATGTTACAATGTTACAATATACGATGTAATGAAATTGTTCACTTTCATTTTAATGTTACAATGTTACAATATACGATGTAATGGAATTGTTCACTTTCATTTTAATGTTACAATGTTACAATATACGATGTAATGGAATTGTTCACTTTCATTTTAATGTTACAATGTTACAATATACGATGTAATGGAATTGTTCACTTTCATTTTAATGTTACAATGTTACAATATACGATGTAATGGAATTGTTCACTTTCATTTTAATGTTACAATGTTACAATATACGATGTAATGGAATTGTTCACTTTCATTTTAATGTTACAATGTTACAATATACGATGTAATGGAATTGTTCACTTTCATTTTAATGTTACAATGTTACAATATACGATGTAATGGAATTGTTCACTTTCATTTTAATGTTACAATGTTACAATATACGATGTAATGGAATTGTTCACTTTCATTTTAATGTTACAATGTTACAATATACGATGTAATGAAATTGTTCACTTTCATTTTAATGTTACAATGTTACAATATACGATGTAATGGAATTGTTCACTTTCATTTTAATGTTACAATGTTACAATATACGATGTAATGGAATTGTTCACTTTCATTTTAATGTTACAATGTTACAATATACGATGTAATGGAATTGTTCACTTTCATTTTAATGTTACAATGTTACAATATACGATGTAATGGAATTGTTCACTTTCATTTTAATGTTACAATGTTACAATATACGATGTAATGGAATTGTTCACTTTCATTTTAATGTTACAATGTTACAATATACGATGTAATGGAATTGTTCACTTTCATTTTAATGTTACAATGTTACAATATACGATGTAATGGAATTGTTCACTTTCATTTTAATGTTACAATGTTACAATATACGATGTAATGGAATTGTTCACTTTCATTTTAATGTTACAATGTTACAATATACGATGTAATGGAATTGTTCACTTTCATTTTAATGTTACAATGTTACAATATACGATGTAATGGAATTGTTCACTTTCATTTTAATGTTACAATGTTACAATATACGATGTAATGGAATTGTTCACTTTCATTTTAATGTTACAATGTTACAATATACGATGTAATGGAATTGTTCACTTTCATTTTAATGTTACAATGTTACAATATACGATGTAATGGAATTGTTCACTTTCATTTTAATGTTACAATGTTACAATATACGATGTAATGAAATTGTTCACTTTCATTTTAATGTTACAATGTTACAATATACGATGTAATGGAATTGTTCACTTTCATTTTAATGTTACAATGTTACAATATACGATGTAATGGAATTGTTCACTTTCATTTTAATGTTACAATGTTACAATATACGATGTAATGGAATTGTTCACTTTCATTTTAATGTTACAATGTTACAATATACGATGTAATGGAATTGTTCACTTTCATTTTAATGTTACAATGTTACAATATACGATGTAATGGAATTGTTCACTTTCATTTTAATGTTACAATGTTACAATATACGATGTAATGGAATTGTTCACTTTCATTTTAATGTTACAATGTTACAATATACGATGTAATGGAATTGTTCACTTTCATTTTAATGTTACAATGTTACAATATACGATGTAATGGAATTGTTCACTTTCATTTTAATGTTACAATGTTACAATATACGATGTAATGGAATTGTTCACTTTCATTTTAATGTTACAATGTTACAATATACGATGTAATGGAATTGTTCACTTTCATTTTAATGTTACAATGTTACAATATACGATGTAATGGAATTGTTCACTTTCATTTTAATGTTACAATGTTACGATGTACGATGTAATGGAATTGTTCACTTTCATTTTAATGTTACAATGTTACAATGTTACGATGTTACAATGTTACGATGTAATGGAATTGTTCACTTTCATTTTAATGTTACAATGTTACAATATACGATGTAATGGAATTGTTCACTTTCATTTTAATGTTACAATGTTACAATATACGATGTAATGGAATTGTTCACTTTCTGAATAAAATGCGAAAATTTGCACAGCTTTTCTTTAATGTAAAGTAAACCACTTTTTTGACTTTTTGAACGTAAAATGATGTCATTTGCTTCCAAATTATAAAAATCTATCTGAACAAAGTTAGGTCAAATTTTTCTATTATATATTATCAATATAAATATTGATTGTATACACAGAATGTATACAACCAAAAACTAGAAAGAATAGAAATGTTGTAGTAAAACTATCGTGTTTAATTTGATTAGACAAGATACAACAAGCCATGAAAAGATAAACTTATCAAAATTCAAAAACGAAGCTTTATCTAAAAAAAACCTTGATGAACTACTTTGCTTGCAACCCAGTTAACACACACACGTTGATAAAACATTAGAACAATACTGTGTATTGCTTTGGCCCAACATCAACCGCCAACGTTGTTTTTATATCATTTTGGTTACAAATGGACAACATAAAAAAACAACATTGATTCAACGTTTTATTTTAAGTCGGCATTGCGTAATGTTTTACGTTGATTCAACGTTGTATTATACGTTGGCACAACGTTGTAACTTATGCAAAATGTTGCGTTTTAAGTTAATTCAACGTTATATTTTACGTTCGCACAACTTTATATTTTACTTTTTATCTGAATTAAATTTTTTGTTTTATGTTGTGCATATACATATAAACATTAAATATTATAAATTTATACGCATATACTATAATTATAGTATAATTATACGATAATTATAGTATAACTTATATGCTATATTTATAGTATAATTATAGTATAATTATAGTATAATTTATACGCATATACTATAATTATAGTATAGTATAATTGTATTTATACAAACATATACCAGCCATTATTATTATTATTATTTTTTTACCTGTTTAACTAGAGACACCTGCTCCTGAAACCAGGCTTGCACAGGGCCCTAGAAGGCGGTGTTATTAGGGAGCCGAAACTCCGCGTTTAGCCCACTTAAGGTTTTTTTTTGCCACTTAACCGAAGCTGAGTAGCGCCAACTTAATGGTTTATATATCTCCCATTTAACGTCCGGAGTGGACGGATTGCATAGAGATTTCCGAACGTAAAAGGAGACAATGAAAAAGCGACTACGCCAAGAACCTCTATCGACTGTCACGGCTTCGATCTTGTGCTTTTTCTGCTTTCTAACAACACTGTAACCAATTGAGAGTCCGAAGTCGAAATAAGAACAGATTTTA